ACGCGTTCCTTTGTTTCCTGAAACAAATGCAGGTTTGCTTCTAGAAATAAATAAGTCACTTCGTGTGCCGTGACATTTTCCCGGGTCTAAAGTTACGTGGTGGTTCTGCAGAATACAGAAGGCAAAGTTCCCTTTTAACAGGCAAATGCAAACTAGGGAGGAACACAGACTTGAGCGTAGCAAAAATGCACAAACTTTGTTTGGCGTTTTCTTTCCCACCCTAGGAACATGCTTCAGGAAGGAGCCCACGGGAAATGGACGGTGTCTAGCAGTGATGAAAGTACTGAAGAGAATTCAGACAGTGACAAACCATGTACCTCTGCACTGTTGGAAGCTGCACGTGGCAAAACAAGCGGGCCACAGTATCCGTGCTCTGAAGCTAGGAAAGCTGCTCACAAAAGAAAAGCTTCTCCCCTGAAGCTCGGTGATAAAAGCTTTTCTACACAAGTATCTCCAGCAGCAAAACAGAGAACTAGCCAGGAAGGCTCAGGCTGGTGTCTTTCTAGTAGTGATGAAGAGCCTGAAGATCAGGAAAAGCACGTCCACAAAGAAGCACTGAAAGAAGAAAAAAATGATGCACCCGAAGAACGTCCTCTGAATCCTCACAAAGATGATGATCTAGAGAACCAGAAAGCAGAGGAGTATAATGAAACACACAGTGAAGCCCAAGATACCTGGGACTTATTAAATGGAGGGAATCCCTTCAGGTTTTTTCTCACTAAAGTCAGAGGAATTGAACAGAGCTATAATTCTGGAGCCCTGCACATAAAAGGTGAAGAAGCTGCTGCTGCAGCAGTGGGCTTTTGGGACACTTGATTTGCAAGAGAATTCTTATCTTTAATTTGTGGGTGTTTTTAAATGCATGCATTCCTTGGTGTAGCTGAGGCTTCATATTCTAAATGTGTTAGGAATTATAGGAATTGGTTCTGTTATCTACACCTTTCTATTTGGAAATATAGTGTGTAAAGCAATAATATGCTGGTACGGATTATGTTATTACTTCTGAATTATACTGCGTAAACCTAATGTGCGTTTAGCCAAGGTATATCATATGGTGCTTCTTACTGCTGTTTTTGCTGTGAGTTAATCTGAGGAAAGCTACTTGCTTTTGTGCCCCTTAAAGGGATGCTTTTCTTTGGTGCCTAACCATCCTCCCTGTTGTTTGCTTTGTCTTCATGCATATGAGTGGTTTGGACTGAGTAATTCACTATTACTTGATGCAATGTGAGATAGTACTTCTGAAGTTCTGTGGCTGGGGTTCAGTTAGAACTAAGCATGAATCAAGATGAAGTGAAGTCTTTGGTGTATGATACTGATGCTTCAGGAATGCTGTGTAGTTTGATGTAAGGAAGACGAGCTCTGTGTGGCTGTAAACATCTCATTCAGAAGTGAAATCTCATGCATCATGTGACAGAATCAGAAACAAGCATTAATAAGAGATTTATGCACAGAAATAAGTAAAATGAGACAGAAAAAAAATGTAGTTCCTTGAAGGAGAACAAATGGCTGACGACCTATACAATTAGGTTGTAGCTTTTCCTTAACCTCATGTGCTCCCTGTGAGCATTGGTTATTGATGGCAGCCTGGGGTCAGAGACCTCAGTTGCTTCACTGCTATATGTCTTTATCTGCTTCGTGAATTTGTTGTGGCTTTTGGCCTGTTCTCTCTTAGGAGTAGTTGTTGTGCTGGGTAATTAGTTGAGCTGGTGTAGGGGTTGAGTTTTTTGTTTAACTTGCAAAACCAGATTTCTGTCGAGATAGGGCATAAAATATTTTCCTTCTCCTAGAAGGTATTTGTAGCATTTATTTTCAAATTGCTATCCTGCTTCAGTTATTCATGTTTATAAATCCTCAGATGGAATATTTTTCTGTGTTACCATGAGTGAACCAAAGCTACGTATGTCCTACAACCAGTCTGCAATAGATTAAGTCTTTAAGCATTAACTACATGTGCCCTTACTGCTTCTACACTGCCACGGTGAGACACTGGAACAGGTTGCCCAGAGAAGTTGTGAAACCCCCTCCCTGGAAGTGTTCAGGCCAGGCTGGATGGGGCTTTGAGCAACCTGGGCTAGTGGGAGATGTTCCTGCCCATGACAGGGGGTTGTAACTGGGTGATCTTTAAGGTCCCTTCCTACCCAAACCATTCTATGATTTTATAGGGAAGAGAGTAGTTCAATGGCCCATTCTCCATATGATCTTGGTCTTTCTCCTAACAAGTTTTTAAAATTTCTACTTTGAGATGATTAATGCTTTTTATAAACATGGGACTGTAAGGGTTTCACAGGTGAATCAGTGACTTGAATATTCAGAACAGTAAACTTAATTGCAAATATGTCTGTTAAACTAAGTCTGTGAACACTTGTGGTAGTTACTGAACTGTTCAAGGTGTGAAATGTTTACTTAAGCCTTTTTTTTTTTTTACTTAATTATGCTTTAATGTTTTTTAATAGATATTTTGTCTCCTCTTTTTGGGACTCTAGTATCTTCTGCCCAGGTGAGTTTACTCTTTGCCAAATTGATTTTATTTGCTTATTTCACTTTATTAGCCTTAAACTTTGGTGATTGATTTTTGTGCCAAATAGCTGATACTAGCTGGAAACTGTGTTAAAACAGAGGGAACTCTAAAATGTTTTCAGCTTTATAACATACTGAAATATTAAAATTGTCCTGTGTTCTGCTTAGAGTTCAGGCAATTGTATGATTGGCCTCTCCTCTTTTGGGGAAAAGTGCAACTGAAAACATTCATTTTTGTATATGAATTATTTCTCTAGGAGAAAAAAAGCCTTTCATTCTAGGAATGATATTTTTGTTATTCAGTAGAAACTTTTTTTTTTTGTTTATGGTATAAACACAGGTCAAAGAGATGGTTCTTGAACCAAACTTTTTGCATTATGTGTATATGATTTTTTTTTCCTGCATGTTAAATTTTATGAACCCTAATACATGCTTTTGAATAACTTGAATTCTTGAATTGTTAAGAGACATGTAAACATGTGGAATTCAGAAATACACGTTTGTTAAAACACACTGGGTATGACGTAAGTGGTATTGAATAATGACTTTATGGAGGAAGTTTTTTTGCTGTAGTTTATTGTTCTGACAAACTGCTTTTTCTTTTTAATGAGTCTGTTTTGTTTTTCTCATATGTAAGTTTAACTACTGTATAGATGTGGGATGGCTTGTAAGACAGTATCCGCAAGAATTCAGGTATGTTTATTTTATAAAAATGAAATTATACAGTTTTCAATTCATTCCGTTAATGCAAATTCCTGTTATAAGTGAGAAACACTTATCTGCAGGTGTAAATTATTGTTACCAATTGTGATTGTGTAGACTATTGGTCTTCCCTGTGTGCTTATTTGACAATTGTAGTTCTGTTTTGATTTTGTGCTTCTTGTCTAGACAGTTAAACGGCCAGAGTTCAGTATGGCTGTTTTCTGATTTTTATTAATCAACACTTAGGAGGTCCCCTTGTGGGCCACAATGACAATGTGGTAAATGATGTCAAGATGTAATAAGAAGCTTTTTGCTGTACAGTACCCTGCCAAGAGCAGGGTAGTGCAAGGGAAAGGAGGGAATGTAAGAAAGGCATCATAGATATGATGTGGTTGGAGTTGCTGGATATTGTCATGAAAGCAGTTCATATGCTTTAAATTCCTTTCTGATAATTGCAGCCTACTTCAGATGAACTGAGTGTATTATGATGTGTTTTTTCTCTTTTTTTTTTTTTTGCTTTTTACTGGAAATGCAATGGAACAGCGTGTTAGAAAGTGAACACAAAGCTACTGCCAGAGTAGACCTAGCCCTCTCCTTTTCCTTCTTATTCTTCCCACCTTCTCTGTAAGCTAACAATTATTAAGTTATCTTAGATCCACACTGTGTACATCAGTACTTTTGAGAGCTTTTCTTTGTCTGTTTCTAGCTACACAGACAAGAATTCTTTACAAGGTCTTGTATTACTAGTTTCTGTCTTATTTTCTCTGTTTTTCCTATTTTCCTTCCCCCCCCTCAAAAAGAAGTTTTCTAGGTTCTTGCTCTTAGAGGTGCTACAGTAGTTACTGCTTTTTTGAGTTAGTTAATAAGGCATATAGATTTTAGCTTCATCTTCCTGCTGGGCTATCAGATTTAGGCACCAGAAGTCATAGCTAAATGAAGGAGTAGTTTAGACTGATTATTAATTTACTTGAAGTTTTTAATCTTTATCTCCATTTATTTAAGGAAGAAGCCATTGTTGATAGTTCATGGTGAAAAGAGAGAATCCAAAGCTGAACTGATTGCACAAGCACGCCCTTATGAGAACATTAGTTTTTGCCAGGTAATTAGCATTTGTATCATCCTTTGGTTGAAATTTAGCCATCTGTTGCACTCAAAATCTTGTTATGGATAAAAATACACATACTTTACTTGGGAAGTCAAGATTTTATTATTATCCTTTAAGGAATTATACTTACCAGGACTGTGGGAACATGACAACTGTGTTCCTGGCCTTCTGTGGTGATGGTAGACACACCCACAGAAGGTTTGCATGGAATGGTTGCCCACAAAAATGATACGGGGCTCACAGAAGAACTGCACACCCTCTCCACTAACATTTTACACTCCAGTTATTGCAGTGGCTGAAAAAGAAGTACTTTTTGTATAAAGTGCAGAACTTAGTCCTGGTGACATTGTAGTCTTAAATTTTGTTAAAGAGTTACTTGTCCAAATATGTTTTACGCAAGTAAATACCGTTACAGATAGTCTCCATAATACTGCTGAAATTGCTATGAGCACATTTCCCGGCACATGCGCTCTCCCTTCAGGTGTTTATATGCACTGCTCAGATCTCCTGTGAGCTTTCTCTTCTCCAGGTTGAATAGTCCCAGCTCTCTCAGCATTTCTTCACAGGAGAGATGCTCCAGTCCCTTACTTGTCTAGGTGGCCCTTCATCAAACTCTGCAGTATGTCCTGTACTGGTGAGCCCAGAAATGGATCCAGTACTGCAGGTGTGGCCTCATCATTACTGAATTAGAGGGGAAGGATCACATCCTTTGACCTGCTGGCAGTGACCCCCCAGTACAGCCCAGGACACGGTCACATTGCTGCATGGGAATATTGCTGGCTCCTGTTCAACTTGGTGTCCAGTGGGAACCTCAGGTCCTTTTCTGCCAAGCTGACTGTTTCTGAAAATACTGCTGGTAAGAGACCAGAAATTTTGCTGAAGCAGTCTTGGCAAAGAGTTGCATTGGCATTTAATGTCTAACTTCTAGAAATTACATAGTACTCTTTCAAGGTGTTGAAGGGAAAGAATATGTATTTTCTGATCTGTCCACTAGAGAGCAGTGAAATCATAGAATCATAGAATCAAAGCAAAATGAAGAAGTACCTCTCCTCCTTTAACTTTATTGCATAAGTACCATAGGAATTTTTAATTATAAACTCTTTAATTTTGTAGGCTAAACTGGATATTGCATTTGGAACTCACCATACGTAAGTAACACCTGTGAAGCAGAAAGCTCCACTTCTAAAGATGACCACAGAGTTGGTCCATGCAGTTACCATAATTGGGCTACTAACTTGTGTCTAGGGTCTTAAAGTATTTATATGATAGAAGATGAATTATGACTAACTGTGGAAGCTTAATTCTGAAGGCCTAATGTATATTTTTGAAATTCTAGAGCAGTATCTTCCATGTTCTATGTTTATCTGTTTCATTTATCTGCAAGCTGTTTTAAAAGCTGTAAAACGGGGTTTCATAGAAATTACTGAGTCTTAATTATTTTGTATTTAGAGATGATCAGATTGTTCTAGTTTAAGGAAACAAATCAGCTCTTAAGGAGATGAGAGATGTGCAAATTAGACAATTGAAGTCAGTGAACTGCAGGTCCTGCCTCTTAATTCATGCCTTAGTACTAAAACTGTAATGCAGACTTGATCAGTCATTGACAGGTCAGACACAACACTAATTTACTGCTCAGTTTTCACAATTAACATGGAGGGTCTGTAAACAATTGCTGAATTTTGGGCTCTTCTCAAAGGAAAAACCACTTTAATTTGAGATGTTACAAAGTTTAATTTTAAATTGATAGCTACAGATAAGAACAGATCCAAGCTTATGTCTCATAGCAAAAATCTTTGGTTTCAGAGCACTTAGTAATTTTTAATCAATTAATCCTTCTGTGTTAATTGTTAAAACATTGATCTGAAATACCCGTTTAACGTTCATCTGTATTTCTGCTAGAAAACATACTGACCTCCTCACTGTCTTTTTGGAGAATAATATGCAAATAAAGGAAAGAAATCAGCATTTTTAAAATTGGTCTTGCTTTTCTCTCAAGTTTAATGAAAGACATAGAAGAAATTGAGGGATTTTTTCCAAAGTGATAATTTTTGAAGCTTTAGCTTATTTTCACTTAAGCAGTTTAAGCAGCAGTTCTCATTCTCTGTACCTCTGTATGCTCAGCTTTAAATTTTTTCTTCCATCATACTTAGGGATAAATAAGTGATAGTGATGTTAAACGTTGCAATTCTTTAACCATATATTTTCAAGGGTTGTTCTGGGTAAGGTGTTTCTGAATGCGTGTTGCACTGCAGATGGAACCCAAGTGGATAGCACACCAGTAAATCAGATCTTGGTGGATAGTGAAACAATTTTGTTCAAAGACAAACTTAATGGTTTTTACTGTATCAAAATAAAGACTTACATTAAAGTCATTCCTGTTCTATGGTGTAAAACCTAAATTACATGTCAGTGATTTATTTTTCTTTTTGAGGTAGTAGTGTTTTGGTCAGTTATCACTTTTATATGCATTAATCTTGCACTTGATTTTGCTGTAAAGTTCTTATTTTACTGTCAACTCAATTTGTGCTTCGGCCAAGGCATAGTTCAGATGTGGGGAACTTTTATAGTTAGAGGTTCTTGCATACTGCATAAACTGCAGTAAGCACAGGAAAAAAAAGTGAGGATACTTGAATGTGAGCTTCCTGAACTCTAACATTGAAAGCTGAAATTACTGAATAGATCATTGTCTGAATTTGAGCCTGATATTATTTGCCTAGCGTTCTCTCTTCACTGGACAGCAACGAAAATAACTGTTTTACAGTTTTCATTTTTGATCATTGGTTTCTATGGAAACCCTCTCATCCTTTAGGATCAAATGGATATGTTGTCTTTAAACAACTACTGAAAACTTGTATGAGAATTTTGATCACTCTGCAAAAAATACTTTTATTTTTAACTCAGTTACTCCTAGTTTTAAAACTCCTTTGTGCTATAGTATGAGTTTAGATTTATGGTAGATAAACAGCTTTTTTTGCCATCCTAGTGGTTAGTTGTCTTCATATTTTCATTTATTTTAAAAATTGTCAGAAAGAAAAGAACTAGGTTTTAATAAATTGAGTTATAAGAAAAGCCCTTTCAGTCTTCTTAGTTTACTTATTTTTTTTGATTTGTAAAGGAATAAGTTTATCTGAAGAACATAACAAATACGAAAGGTGTTCTGCAAGTATTCATTTTTGCTCTGGGAAGTTAGTTGCACAAGGTAGCTGCTGACAAAATATATAGGGACAGTCTAATGACTACCATGGGAGTTTATTAGGCATGTGGATTGGGATATAAGTTTTTGAACTGTGCAGAACAAATCTTGTAAAAGTATTTATCTTGGTGCATTTCAGGGAATTGTTATTTTTCCCCTGTTCTCGATATACTTGAAATAGATGAAGTATTTATGTTTTTCTCTTATTTTTAAGGAAAATGATGTTATTGTTATATGAAGAAGGTCTTCGAGTTGTGATACATACATCTAATCTTATTGCTGAAGATTGGCACCAGAAAACTCAGGGGTAAGCAACAAACTTTAGCAGGTATATGTTTATTTTAATGCTTTCCTCCTTTCAGCACATAAAGTTGATAATGCAGTAATGCAGAAACTTTGGCTTCTGCGGCTACAACAATGTGACTGGAAAGAAATGCTAGATGTTTTCCATGTATACCTACCACTTTATTCTGATAGAAGTTCTAGGGGGGCAAGTTGCCCTTGTGGGCTACTCTTCAAACTGTGCAGAACTTTCAGATGCTGTCATTGGTGTTTTTCTATAGCCTTAGCAAACCCATAGCTTTGCAGGATGTGTTGCAGTGTTCTATTCATATGGAAAGTCTTGATGAAAGGACTTCTGGTTGGTCAAGTCTGAGCCTGCTTTAACAGTGGTGAAAACTGTAAACATATACATGAATAAGAGTGTTGAGATTGTTTTCATTTGGAAGTATTAAATTACGATATTGAGTATAAGACTTGATGATTCTGTAATTTTAAAGTAAAGGCAAGTTACTTCATAGTTAGTGTCACAGTAAACCTGTCTTGTTTGCTTAGAAACTTCAGATGTGCTTTAATCACTTAATAAACCCATGTGTTAATGTGTGGTGTCCTTGTTTTTGTGACTTTGTTTTCAGAATATGGCTAAGCCCTTTATATCCAAGGCTACCTCAAGGAGCAGCTAGTTCTGGTGAATCTGAAACTAATTTTAAATCTGACCTAGTAAGTTACTTGATGGCTTATAATTCTCCTGCCCTCAAGGAATGGATAGATCTGATTCAAGAACATGATTTGTCAGAGACAAGGTATGTTATCTCATGTGTTATAGTAAGTTGTATGGTGGTTTTTTTCCAACAAATTAAACTTGTATGTTAGGATCTATTAGACAATGGATTTGTTTTGTAAGCTTACTTTTTCCAGACATTGGTATTCAAACATGAGTCTTAACTTTAGACAGTTTTTTTAAAATGTGTTTTATACAGATTATGTTGAATTGACCAACTTCTGGTTTTATAAGCATACATTTTAAAAGAATGATAAAAAGGTGCATCAGCAATAATTTGACAGAAGGTAGCTATAAGTAATAGGGACACAGAGTTTCATTTAATTCAGTCTGGCTTAAATATTTGCTCTGATGAAACTACCAGCGGAAAAAAACCTGCACTGTATTGGGTTTAAGAGAGGTCATACAAGCAAAGGTTGTTGCAATGAGAATTTTACTAAGAATAAGCTTCTGTAGTTATAAGGTGGAGTTCAATCTATATACCTATGTGTTGAATTTTGCCTGTTACAGGCATGGATTGTGTCTGGTAGGCAAAGTTATGTGAAATGCTAATGTACTTTGTCTTCAAACAGTGTTCTCTAAGATCACGTTGCTGATCTTACTTAAAATAATTCAGGATGCTTAAGTTATTTTTAAGAGATGCATCTTGCATTTTTACTGAAATATGGTATTTACTTCAGAAATTGTGAATCTCCTTGGCTGCTTAACAAGAGTTTTATAAGCTGACAAAAATTTGTTGTAAAGAAAAGCTGAAAAAGGTCATTAACAGTGGTGGAAATAGAAACTGAAACCTTGTCTGGTTTAATATGTAAACAAAACGTGCCTTTTTCTGTATGTGAAGTCCTACAAGACTGGAGAGGGTAAAAGAAAGAAGTATGTACCTTTATAGTCAGGTGACCTAACAGCCTCAGCTGTTCCTCCTTGCTTGAGCAGGTTGGTTGAGCCTCAGCTGATGTGAGTTTATGCACAAGTTAGGCAAGAGTCACTGCTTCGGATGGGGAGATCAGTTCTTTGCCATATAAAATACTCAGGGGACATTCATTCATGGACAGAGGTAGGCAGGAGAGGCAGTAAGGAGTAGCTTTTAAAGCAACTGTTTGTTATGACTCTGGGTGGGTCTCTGTTTTCAGGTCTAAGTCAAACAGGTTACTAAACCATTATTAGGAAGACAGTTGAAAAAGTTGTGCTTTGCATCTGAACTATTAAGTGCTCAGGTGAAGTCTCTTACCTGAACTCGCTGATTTGGATGTAGCGGTAGATTGGCTTTGTTCAGTTACATGCCCAGTTCTGTGCCAAACAAGTTATTTGCATTCTTTGCCAACACCCGTGTTCTGTGTTTTTTTCACACAGAAGGAGATGCAGTTCTTGTCTATGCTGTAGAACAGCATGATGGTGCATAACAGCCATATAGGATGTTATTAAATTATACTGTTTTCTTTATATTGTGAATCTTAAGGGTAAAAGATTAAATATTTTTGGTTGCACTTCTATTTTCAACCTTGCTGATAGGTTCTACTTAAACATCTTAATATGTTGCAAACCAGGATGCTCCAGAGCTGCGAATAACTTGGTGTTGTTTTTTAATTTCTGCAGAGTGTATCTGCTTGGTTCTACCCCTGGACGATATCAAGGTAGTGATAAAGAAAGGTGGGGTCATCTTAGACTCAGAAAGGTACTAACACCTTTTTTGTCAATATCCTTTCAACTGTATTACAATTTTTGGAGGGCATTTAGTTCCTTTCAGGCTTTCCAGCTAGTCAGCAACCTGTTAACACGTTGTTACAGTTTAAATGAGCAATAACATAAACTTGTAACTTATGGCAGCTAGAGTTTGCACATAATATTCCTGTGCTTTATTACCATTGTCAGTTTGTGATCTAAGCTGTCATGTGTTTACAGGTTTTTGAGGAGTCAGCATCACTAAAAGGACTTCTTATCTGCTCCTGGTGTTTCTAACAAATGCGATACTATCAAAACCTAGTCTTCTGTGACTCAGAACCAAATATAACCTTTTTCAAAGGCACTCACTGATGAAAGATATGTTGATACAAACTAGCCTGTATAGAGGGAACAGGCTTAATTTATTTAAACGTTAAGGGCTACTATAGTTTCTTTTTCCATAATGACCTGTCAAATTAAAAACTGGTTTGCTTATAGCTGGAGTCATCAATTCCACCAGGTTTTCAGTTTTGTTCTTCTACGTTTCTAAGATCTCAATTTATCTTAATATATTTTTAATCAGCTGAATAATCAGGTACATGGATTATTCCTTTTTTTTCTTACACACACATAACACCCCCCCCCAATATTTAGATAAGCCATAGTGGTAAATCTGTATTTCATGTCATCTCTTAAATGCCTCTCATAAATGGGGAATTTTCAACCAGTATGTGCTGCTGAAGTGGCATTATTTCAAATTCCAGTGTGAATTTTATATGGAATTCTAATGCTGTCCATGGCGAATTTGTGACATACAAAATGTCTATTTATCACGTTGCTTTTCAACACAAGGTTGCTCTTTTAGACCTCCCCTTGCTTTTAAAGGACTTGCCTTTTCTGATAATGAAACAGAAAAAGCCTGTAAAGGATAAAGATGGTCTTATGGTAAATATTTCTATGATTAAAAAAGGGTTTTTTTTGTTTTTGTTTTTTTTTGGTTTTTTTGTTTGTTTTTTAGTGACAAGGCAGACAGATCTAGTGACATTGCACTAACTGAGCTGTTTAGTTGTATCCTCTCTAGAAGGGGGGAAAAAGGTAGCCACTACATACAATCTGTGCCTGTATCCATCTGTTTTCAATGTGACTTTAAATTCCGTTCACAGTCAAAAAACTCCTCTAAAAGGATTTTTTCATTTTTTTCTTCAATTGTTCTTTTTTCCTCTCTTATTGTAGGATGCTATTGTATCTAGGGCTTTAGGATATGAGAGGAATTTTATGGCCAATTACCACCAAATACAAAAAGATTTAATTTTATTGTGACTTCTGAAGCTAATGTTTTATGTTTTTAGGAAGAGCTGCTAGCAGTCTTTTTACCCATTAATGGTTGGCTTTGATGCTTTTGAATAAACTTGTGATGTTTGATCTTCTCTTGAAGGAACGGTGGGTTTCTTTGGAGAGCCTGATGACTTTTTTTTATTGCAAAGTTAAATAAATAACATGAATGTTAGTCTTTTCCGTTGTCAGAAGTGATTATAGAGGATTTATTATATCAAACTGTATCAAACCACTAATTAAGGTATTATTTGCCTGTTGAAGTTTAACAATGTTTTAATTTCACCCACTAGCTTCTGAAAGAGCATGCTTCCTCGGCCCCAGCAAAGGAATCCTGGCCTGTTCTTGGACAGTTCTCAAGCATTGGTTCACTGGGAGTTGATGGGTCCAAATGGCTGTGCTCAGAGTTCCTGGAGAGCCTGGTGGCTGCCCGCAGCAATGCGACAACTCACCTTAAATGTGATGTTCCAGTTCATTTGGTATGTCTTTTAGATACTAGTGACCTTTGTTTGGCGTCTATTCATTTGTTGTTTATATCTTAGTCATTGGTTTGCTTTTGACTTTTGTGAGACATTAATGTGGCTTTCATCCTGAAGTCATAAGGATGCCAGTTAGTGACACTTACCCACGTATGGTATGCTGTAAAAATATGCTATGATTTCCATCTGTGTGAACCTACAGTGTATGTAACGTGATAAAAATTATATTCTCATTCTATAGCTTGTCTTCCATTGAGTTTTGTAGGTGCAGCTGTTTCTGCTACAGAGATGTAACCCTGAGTGATTAATACGTAATTGTTTTCTAACCTGGTTATTTAGTTATTAGTCCAATTAAGGGGAGGAGCAGAAGCAGGTTTGTAGCAGGAGCTTGTTAAATCAAGGAGAAAATGTTCTTAAGCTATGCCCTTACTGTGTGCTAATTGCTCCTCCATACTCATATTTGAGGTGTGAGTCTAAAATATTACAAAATAATATTAAGAGTTTGCTTTGACCACCGTGGAAGTGGTTGAAGCAGGATTTGAGTCATGATGGCTAATTTTGGTAAGCTCTGCAAGAGCAGTAAAAACGTTAAAGACTTTCTTTGTTACTGACACACAACTGGTTTTAAGCTGCAGTGTAATTCTATTCATTTTGAAAAATTAAGCTCTTAATGTTGTTTTTATCAAGTAGGTTTTCTTTTAAGGTGATTTTTACTTGAAAATTGACAGCTTGTGTATTTAGAGTTGTGTTAAAGATTTGGGTTTTTTCCCCGCCCCTCTCTGTGCAGGTTTATCCTACTGTGAACAATGTGAGGCAAAGTCTGGAAGGCTATCCTGGTAAGCAGATGAACTCCCATGTATTAGCATTTTGTGGTCATGATGTCCTGTAAAATCACTGATCAATGTTGAATGAACCTGAAGTTGTTGTCTTGCTGAGAGCTTGGTAGAATAAGTGGCAATAGATTCGTTTTATTACTGTTCCTGGAGCTCTGACTCTAGCTCTCCTATTGTGATTGAACAGAAAAAGCTTTCTGGGCATTGGTATGCAATGTTTTAGGTCTGTATAGCTGTGTTCATGAATCACTGCATATGGAAAAACAGCTCTTGCCCAATGTTTTAACTCATCTTTTATTTTGGCGGAAAACTCAGGTTTGAGTGTGCCACACTGTCCTTGTATTTTCTTTGAAATGTCATCCTGCACACCAGATAAAATGGAGAATGTTTCACTGCTCATTAGGAACTTTTTTTAATATCTTAATTTATAATTTTTCTGTTCAGTCTTCCCATGTTTGCGTTCATGAAGTCAACATACTTGTACAGAGAGCATAGTCCCAACTAACCTGAAGGAGGAAGAGATACTGCAGTAGTCTGATGCAGTGACGCTTGTGTTTCTCAAAAGCAAGCCCTTATGTGGGTTAAAGCCATGCATGCTAAGGGAGCTGGTTTTGATTAGTCTTCAGAATGCCAAGGCAATTGGAAGACATTCATGAGAACTGAAGGAAAGAAATTCTGTTCTGTCTTCAGGAAGGGTAAGGAGGAGGATCTGGTGAACTACCTCACCTTGATCCCTGGGAAGCATCATTATCATCTCCTATAGCGTCACTAGAGACAACCTGATGAAGTGACTGGATGAGTGGATGGTGGAACACGGATTGGAAGCTGACTGACCTGCCAGGCCTCAATGGTTGTGATACTTAAACCTGACGGGACACTGTACTGAGCTACATGCTCTGTATGTGGGGATTTATTCAAGATTTCCAGAGGGTTCTTCCAACCTCAGTGATTCAGTTATGCTTTGACATTGCTGAATCCATAAACCCGTTCCTGTTCCCAGCCGGATACCTATGCTGCTGTTAGTATGGAGTAGCCGTTTTTCTAACAGTTGGTGGAATTTGATCACAGGGCTGGTAGGAATGCTTTCACCTCTCCATCTTTCCTCTGAATTGAGCAGTGTTTGGACATATTTAGAAACTGCAGACAGTGAGTTTCTAGGTATCTGTTTCCCACAAGTAAGTTAAGGTCTTTTGAAATACATCTGGTTGTCTACAGCATCTGTTTAGCAAAGCTGATACTCCTGAAAGCGAGAGGTGCAATCTGCACAGTGACTCCTTACTGTCATTTCTTTAACATTATGAAATAACTGGGTGAATTATATAGCTCTCTATTTGTGCAAATGAGCAGCTCCATGGACTCTTACTCTCAGGAATGCACTAACTGTATTAGAGCTTTTGTAAGCGGTTCTTATGGTGTCATCTAGGACGTGGTGAATGCAGTAGGTTTTGCATTGGTTTTAGTAATGCAGCACTGGTACGACTGAGTATGCCACGGCTGATTCTTTTTTGTTAAATCCATCTTAAGAAGTCACAACATGCATTAGCCAAAGACCAATTCAACACAAATACAATTTCATCAGAGAAGTTCTTGCTTTTAAAAGTAATATTTTGAGGGATTTTGTTTTTTCCTAGAAGCTGCTTGTTTTATTCCCTCTAGTCTGTATGGGAAACAATTCTAATCTGTTGATATCAAGTGGTATCATGACAAAATTACCAATGTACAACTATTTGTAAGAGGACTTAATTCTATAGTCTACATACTGCTTCTCTTTTTTCCTAGAGTGAATCTACTACATAGTGTTTAGAAACTTGCTAAATTATAACAGTGCAAGAAACCCAACAACTTTCATACTTCTGGAGCATTTAAGCATTTTCTAAAAATAAGTCATGATGATAGTAGAGATAATTTATTACTGAAGATGTTTCCTGCTTTTAGAATCTCTTTTAAAAAAACAAATGTGCATGTGTGTTTTTGGTTATTTTTTCCTTCAGCTGGTGGCTCACTTCCATACAGTATACAGACAGCACAGAAACAGCTGTGGTTGCATTCCTATTTTCAGTAAGTAGAACTCAGTTCTCTGAATGTGTTTTTGTGGTTTTTTTCCTTAGTTTATATGTTTAAACTTACAATGTCTTAAAGTTTGAGTGTTAAAAGCCAAGTTAAGGGGAAGTGATCCGAAGCATCATATTCTAAAAATCCTTAAAATAAAAGCAAAAGCTTTTAATTCCTTATCTACTAGTCTTATCTCCAAAACATAGTAAAAATTTGCTATTTCTGGGTAAAAATTATATGAAATACTGTTCTTAATTCAAAATCTGGTAGTGTCCTCCATTCTTCTTAAGCTTTCCTTCTCTGAACTGCAATAATGTTACTCCTTTCTTTTTTTTTTTGCTTCCTAATTTACAGTTTTATTTTCCCACTTAAGCTTTGATATTAACAGGATTTCAAAAGAGCCACAACACGGTTAGGAAGGCTTTTGTTGTTGTTGTTTTGAGCACAGCAGTCCTGCTGCAAAAATTCTCAGTCCCTTATGGTAATATCTTTTCCATTAAGAACTTCTATTTTCACGTGCTACTAATTTTGCGAAATTCTAACAGTCTGGCACATTCTGTGCCAGATGTCTCCCTCGGGCTGAATCTTTAAAAACTTAAGCATATTTTGAGAACAATGGGAAAAGTTGTTTTGCACGGATAAAAAAAAAATAGATTGAATCTGGCAACCAATTATAAGACCATAGCTTCCCGTTCCTTTCACTAGAAACTTTTAACTCTTCCAGGTGGAAGTTGCTGTGGTAAGATACTTGACCTACATCTAAGTAAGAGTGCGTGAAGTGGTGTGTAGATTCAGAAGGCTGAGAATACAATTTCTGGTTGCATGAGCATCCTGCATTCTGGAATGAACATGCTGCTGTGAGCCGTGCTCGTCAGTGTCCAAGGAATGGAACTGGAAGAGAAAACATATGAGACTCTGTCTCTCCTGTCTTTCAAACTGTACCCTCTGAGCACGTTCAGCAAAGGCTACAAGCACTTTCAGGACTTTAAGAATATTCAGTCAAATTGAAAAAGTGAGGAGATCATAAAACTGAGAGTGTGTTTGTGCAGCTTTGGTTCGGGTTCTGTCAGCGTACATCTCATGAGAATCTTACTGGAAGACAACTGTAACCTTTTTTGGTTGGTCTCTTATTTAGTGCGTTGAATGTTACTTGATTAGAGATCATTCATTGTTTTATTCCTGTTCAATGAGAAAACACTTGCATACCTGCCTCGGGCATACTAGGGTCCTGCTCTGGCAGCAAAAGGGCTGTTTTAAATTCATCTGTTGAATTTGTGATGGAAAACAAGTTGCCCTGCATCACTGCTCTGTAGTGACTACCCAGGTGCAGATTTTTACCCTGCAGTAAGACACTAGCTCTTGAGGAGACCCTGCATGTAAGCTGTTACCACAGGGTAGATGCCATACAGCAGTGGCTTATCCATGGTAGCAAAACTTTGGGCAGTAGACGTGCTAGAGGAATTTTTCTTTACCTCATTAGAAAATAATACAAAACCATCAAGAAGCTAGGGATTCTACCAGAATTGAGGATCTTCAGTGAAGGAGAGGGAATAGTTCCTTTTTACAAGTAGGAAGAGGTTAATGGAGTTGGAAAATGGTGTCCTATAGTCTCACCCCAAGAGGTGGAACCTCTGCCCCTTTATAATGTTTGTGGGCTGCTTTTCTGATCTAGTTGAGAGGCATCCCTGCCCACGATAAGGAGATTGGATTAAGGTCCCTTCCAGCCTAGACCATTCTATGATTCTATGATTCTGCCAGTTGAATGTGTTTAAGTAACCTATAATGCAGCTCTGACTTGTAATTTCTCAAAAGAACAAGGTGACTAAACTTAATAGTGATTTCACTTTTCTGATTGTAGCAAATGATTACTAGACTGCCTTGTTAGATTAGTTACTGTGTAAATGGTGCAATTTGCTCAATTTTCTCTGGAAAGATTGTTGTTTTTTTCCTTTCAGTATTACTAATTGACAAGGAGAGATTTGCAATTTGTAATGATTTCTGTTAATGGATGCTTTTGAAACACTTGATCAACTTTAACAGTATATAAAACATTGTATTTTAACTGATTAACTTTTAATACCACATGCCTTATGTTCGTGCCATTACTTTGTCAAATCTTTGTTTTCAAAGACTGGAATAAGTTAGCTTGACAAATGTTTGCTTGACTTGTTGGCAAGTCCATAATCATAATTGTATTAGAGCTTTATTTTTTCTTTAGGCCTGTAGAGTTTTGAAGAACATCCTTCTTCACAGTTTGGAGAACAGTTTTCCCCCTAACATCGTAAAAGATGAGAGGCATGGAACAGTTACACAGGGCCCTTTGTGTTTGTGCGTTTGCTTATGGTTGAGGTTCGTGGTGCGAGTTGTTTTAACTCCTCAAGCACTGTTGCAGGTATCTTGAGAGGGAAAGTCCGTTCACTATTTGAAGTAAGGACTAAATGACGGAAGAAGTGATGTTGTAGAAAGTGAGTTATTTCTGACTCTGCTTAAGGGTTGAGGGTGGCTGCACACATTAGTTTTCAGGATGTTAGAGTTACCTGTCTCAGTAGCTCCACTTGCAAAGGGGCCTATGGCTGCACCTTTACCTCACTCATACCAGAAATACCAGACATTGGTAGCAGTTGATGCTTTCTGAATGTCTTCTAGCTAAATGCACCATGGTTGCAGTGCAGACTCCTTTTCAATCTAAAGAATTCATTGCAGAGGAAACAATATGAAACAATAAAACCCAAAAATGCCATAATTCTGAAGTTTTGCAAGTGGTTAAGTACATATAAAAGCAACAACTTATAAGCATTTGTAGTGCAGTGCAAGTGAGTGCAAAGTATTTTCTATATTACAAAAGATACCTTATTCATGGTAGAGAACATTTTTTCCCCTCCTCCTTAGCCAAAAATATAAATTATGTGAAACTCAAAATAGCTATTGGAAAAATAAAGGGATAGGAGGCGCAAAAGCTGTTGCATTTTAAGAACTGGAAAATGGTTTGCCTCTTTAATTCAGTGCACTTAATCATCACATTAGAGGTTATGTAATTAAAAAGAAAAAAACAGCCGCTGACTGAAAGGCCACAAAAGACTGGGAAGAAGAAAGTAGCAGCAAGTTGCTCATAAAAATGTCAGGTTTAGTAGTCTGAAGTCAGAGATGAGATGTATTAGTGACAAGGAGTTCTAGTCCTAGGAATGTAAAAGAATAAAAAACTAAAAATAGAAAAAGGCTTTCATGTTTTACTGCTCAAACTCTGATGATACCTAACTCCTTTTCCTCACCCCACACTTGAGCTTTTAATTTGCATGGTACCAGGGTTTCTAACTGTCAGAAAATAACTAGTCTAAGCTGTGATTTTGCTCCATAAAATTTCCCAAAGCTACTTTCATTTAATTTAGCATATTTATCTCTGATAAGAGTGACTATGCCTGTAGTTTACTGCAACATGAGTCCTGTGTATGTCCTCTGCCAGCTGCATTCTGATGGAAAGTTTACAGCTTAAAATGTGTTAAAGCAAATTTGACTAGAAGTAGCTTGAAACTGGTATATGGACATATGCTCTTATCCTTGCTATGCAAAACAACTGCTCTTGTATTTTACTTTAGGCTTTTTATACTCTGCTTTGGCTTTCTTTTTTTTGTTGTTCTTTTTCTAAAATATGCCAAGAAAGTTCCATGGTGAAGTTGAAATTTAGCTGTATTAAGAACAAATTACATGAGATATTCTACCTGTTTGAAACCCCTTCCAGTTCTTCTGGTGTATCATACCATTATGCAGTCTGGAAATAAACTGACTCTTAAGATGAAGGGAAAACACTTCTTATACTTCTTTGCTAATAATGCTATTACTAAAAGCATCTGAGCTTTCAATGAGTTAATTACTTTAAAAAATAAAATAAAACTCCCCCAAACAACCAAACCCAACTGGAGAACTTAATCTCTTTCTCTCTTCTTTTGATCCTTATGTAATTGTGTTGTCATACTAAAGAAAATAACATCAGGAAAGGGAGCATATACTCTGGTCATAATTTTCTGTAATACCAGTTTCACTTATAGTTGAAATAACTGCAGTTAAATTACTGTAGCCAGTAAATGGAAGAGAAGCAGTAGTACTCCGGCTAAAACACAGTGCGTGATTGTATCTGTCAAAGATGATAAAGAGTCAAAAAGGTAGTAGACTGAGATAGTAGCTCAAAATTACTGCAGTTAATAGTTGAGGGATAAGTTTGTCCTTGAGTAAGGCAGTGAGATCTGAAGAAAATCTGTGTTCAATTCTCACGTCTATGATTTCATTTCTACAGTGTTACTGGAGCTACCTAATTATTTTTGTGCTTTAAAGAAAATGTTTGCCTGAACTGTGAGTTGTGAGATAAAAGCTATTAACGAGAACTGTTGAGTATAGCCTTACAATCTGTGTGTGTGGGAAGTGTTGAGTTCTGTAGGGACACGCAAGTTTCATTACCTATCATAGAATCACAGAATGGCCTAGGCTGGAAGGGACCTTAGAGATCATTTAATCCAACCTCTTGGTCGTGGGCAAGGACACCTCTCAACTAGATCAGGCAACACATGGGGACCAAGCGGGGATCGAACCCGTGGCCTTGGTGTTATCAGCACCATGCTCTAACCGACTGAGCTAACCGGCCTGTTGTTGTATTGTGTATCTGTTCTTCAGAAACAGGCTTCTATGTGGCTTGCATCATAGTATAAAGATGTCTAGTTGCCTCTAAACTTGCATATGGTGTTTCAGCTCTTGTCGTTTAGGAATATAGAGCAGTTTGCAAACAGTTTTCTTTCCCTCATTGGAGGATAGGGTTGTTAAAGTAGGTCTTGACCCCTGAACTGCAAAGCTTTACTCATATGGAAGTCCTGAAAGTCAGCATAGGTAAATACTCCAGCTCTTCCACTTCAGTTTTCTTAGACTTTTAAATGAACACAGTTCACTTATAAGGGTTTTTTTGAGCTGAGGGATTCTTTTTGATTTGGCTTTTACAAGAGAATGCTAAATTAGGGAAATAAGATTGCAGCCAAAATCAGAGCCTATCACATTCCCGAATGAAGAAAGAAAAGTAGAGGAAAGTGTCTTTGGAAGCTCTCTTCCTGATTTTGAGTGAGGACTAACAGCTGTCAGTGGAAAGTGCTTCTAAATACCATGACTACATACATTCAGTTATGTACACATTTTTACTGCTTGCTTACGGTTTAGATGTTACCTTTACTGCCTTAAGCCCTCAAATTTCTCAGCGTGGCACAGAAGAGGGAACAGGAAAGGTAGTGTCAACAATCTATCAGTTGCTCCCTGCCTCTGCTTCATGTTTAACAAATTGTAATAGGCTTGTGGAATTTTGAAAGGTTTAATTTGTTGCCAAGCTTCTTTGCTTGGAGGTATAACCATTCATAGTCTTCAAATAAGAAATACGGGCTGGAAGTTTGGATTTAGATTCTTGAATGCTAGCTGGAGCGAAGGAATGGAAAAAACTTGTTAGGAAAGCCTGACACACCAAGGACAGTATCTGTCTGGTTTGTTTGTAAAGAGAAAACAGTATTCGCTTGTTTAAAAGAAAAATACTTGTTTGTAAAGAAAGATACCTGCTCTTCTGACTACTGGTAAGATGGGATTTCAGTATTAAAAATTCAGTTAAATAAGGTATTTTCAGGTTTTATGTAGAGGAAGCAAATATGAAATGTTGCAAGTATTAGAGTAGTAGTATTGAAAGCATGGCACTGTAGTATGGTGAGTATCTTTTACACCTCAAAATTAAACTGTATATGAAAAGAATTCATTTTGTTTTTCTAGCAAATGGTCAGCAGAAGTCTCAGGTCGAAGTCATGCTATGCCTCACATTAAGACATACATGAGACCCTCTCCTGATTTTCAGAAGATTGCGTGGTTCTTAGTTACAAGGTAAACATGTAAATATACACCTTTCACTTACGAAAAGTCATATATAAATTTCTCGTCAATTGCTGACCCAGTTGATTTACTGCCATAATCCTCATGATACTGTAAGTGGTGATGTGAATTTTTGACCATATTTAATATTTCTTCATTGCATTGCCCTCTTTGGGGCTGCAGGTTGAAATGATTATATCAGGAACTGTTGGCAGTCGCACCAAAATTTTGTCTGAGCTGTAACTGCCTATTTCAGTGATCAGCATCAACTGAAGTGGTAGGTATTCTTAAACCTCGGGTTAATATTCTTGAACACGTGCTGTACATGAATGTTCTGGTTTGTATAAAATACATATGGGTTAAGCCAAAGTTCATTCTTGTGCTGCCTTATTGTTGCAAACAACGTTGATACTTCTTATTTGGAATCTGACTTTTTGTTAGATTTAGTTGTTCAGCAGTCTGACTTGAAGTCTAACTTTGTATTTCTATTGTTTGGGTTTGAAAGAAGCCGAAAGAGTGAGCAAAACATTTCTTGATATGTGGTGAGAATGTCTTGCCATGCATGAAAAATACAGATATATCTCATTTTTGCCAAAACGGATTTATGCACAACTGCATATACTGTAGATTATAATCTTTGTATCCTTACTCTTAAGTGCTCAGTTACTTTAATCTTTTTTCCTCTTTATGCTCTAGTTCTTTAAATTTCATCACTCATGGATACTGTTGCCTGCAATAGTAATAGTGATTAACGTGCTTTTTAAAGATTTAAGTCATTCAAATGTGATGCTGAGTTGCCCTAATACAGAAATTAATGGTTGCTTTTGGTTTTTTTCTAATGTTTCTCCTCTTCCACTATTTACTGCTATCAAAAAGCATCCAGTATGTCAGTTAAAGCATAATGTTAAGCTTTGTGGTTTACTGTACAAGTTCAATTCTGTTGTCAAAACCTACTTATTTTTTTTACTCCGACTTGATCTACTTCATAGCAGATACTGGTGGAGTATTAACTACAACATGGTGCTCAATAGCACATTAAACTGAAAATGCTGCTTTGATAAATACTTGTTTTCATAAATATATCAAATAACAAAATGCCAGGAGCAAAGTATATTGGTTAATACTTGGAAAAATGCTAATACTAAATGTATTATAATTAGGCATAATTTAGCTAGCCTTTAATCTTCCTAAGTCATCAAATTGAAGCTATTCACTAATAAAAAGTTCCTTTCTGAAATGTGCAGAGAAGATTTAAGAGGCCAAAACTGTCTTGTAGATCTGTGTGTCACAAGTAGGCTGGTGTAATTATCCATGTGTGTTGTGTGAATGCCCTCCTATATTTTGTATGTGCTGGTTCCACTGTGCTCTAAAAATAGCAATAAGAAATAACACCCAAATCGCTTCTTATTAAAAGACTGTTCTGATTGAAGTTCTCCTGCTACAGCTGTAGTACTTAAGCATTTTCTGCTGTGAAGATGATGCCTCACTGAAATGCTTTGTTTCTCTTTGCAGTGCCAATCTATCTAAAGCAGCTTGGGGAGCTCTGGAGAAAAATGGTTCCCAACTAATGATCCGTTCTTATGAACTTGGAGTCCTTTTCTTGCCTTCAGCATTTGTAAGTTTATGGTTCAAACACAAATGTGACTGAATGATCTTACTAGGTTCTGTGTGTCCAGAAACAAAAGCTAATAGCAAGTGGAGTTTATACAGGGTGTTTTTTTTAAAATAGAAACAGTCTGCATGGATTTGGTATTGATGTGACTTTTTTTATGTTACTGGAAGGCAATAATATTTAAAAAGTGTCACATATACTAAATGTTGCAGGAAAATATGATTAAATCTCTTCTTTTCGTGCTTCTTAAAACTAGACTGCAAGTGCATATTCACGTTTAAGTGATGCATGTGCATTGTAACTTGAAAAACAATTCCTAATGTTGCACTGATTGCTGTTCTTGCTCTTTTCCTGAAATGCCATTGCAAAGCCATGGTAACTATCTCTTCTCTAACTTTCTGCCTTGAGAACAAGTTCCCAAATGCATCTTCTAAAGTCTTTGGTACAAATCCAGAAACATTTTCTTAAAAGGCTGTTTGAAAACTGAAGAATTTTATCTTCCAAACCTATGTGACAGCAGTCTTGGCATGTAGAAGACAAGTTTGACCCGAAGTAACTATTGTTCTAGTGTGTGGAACAGAGGACTGGGAGACATTAAATGTTTTTGTGGTAACTAAGTTCCATCTTCTACCTTGTAGTCTAGTCTTAATGCGGTTGCAGCAGATACTGCATGGGAGTTGGCAGAATAAACAGTATATATGGGCTATCTCTTCAGTGTATCTTCCCTATGATTTTTTTAAAAGGCTTTCTAGGATGAAAATTCTGTCCAGACCATGATGGTTAGTAGCCTCAACTCAGCTTATTCTCTTAAACATATCAAGTTTCTTACTGAACTATTCTTGCTGGTTTTTAGCCCTCTACAGAATCCTGTGGTAGCGAGTCCTGTGATGTAGCTGTGCATTGTATTTAAGAAAAAAAAAAGTAGTTCCTGTTTTTGTTTAGGTTATGTTTTCTAGATCTCCTGCCTGATAGTGGAGAGATGTTTTTTATCCCTGTTATTGATTTCTCGTTCTCTTTGATGAACCTGTTAGTATTAAAATGTTATCAACAGCAGTTAATCTGCGATCAGAAACCTGTGTGAAAAATGTTCTTTTCTATACCAGAAATTTCAAGTTTCTTTGAAAAAGCATTTGGATGCTAAAAGACCTTAGAAGTACTTTTCTGATGAAGAATACATCTTTCCTAGATAATGCTCATGGATGTTTATGTAATGCTTCACGATTTCTGTTGATTTGTAATGTACTCCCAAATGAATATTTACTATTATGACATTGTAAAAATGTTTACTTACCAGAACTATATAATTGTAGTCTCCTAAGATTACATTATTAAGACTGGTATGGTTTCTGTCTGTACCAAAATAACTCCTGTATCTCACTCTTGACATTTATTAAGGAGTTTATGTAGTAGTGTAGTCCATTAGAGACAATCTTGGACATCATTGTCCAGAATGGTTTATGTGGAAGAAAACTTTTAGAGAAAATGTGTTGGTCAGAAAAAGAAAAATCCTACAACTTCCCATAGTAGAAAGTGGTGGTTTTCATATCAGTGCACTCTAAAAAAAGCAAACATTGCTTGTGTAAACAGCTGTTAATAACAGAATAATGAAGTGTTGGGCAAAAATATTGCGCAAAAAATGTGACTTTTAACAGCAACTGACCTCAAAGAATAACAGTAGTCAACTTCTTAGAACACTTTTTTAACTCCACATGCTGCCAAGCAAAGAATTTACTTATGGTATGATTGTACTTAGTGAATGAAGCTTTTTGCGTGAACATAACTGATCACCAGACTGTGTGGTCATTTTGCACAAACTGAATATTCTTGTTCTGACTTGGCTAATTTCAGAAGACATCCTTCAAATGGACAGAAAATCGGGAATAATTGAGTTAGTCTTTTTGCCAAGAGTGACCATACCTGTTTCAGATCTGAGCAATCTGCAATGTTGTCACTAAAAAGAAACCAACCCAAAACAAAAACCTCAACCAAGCCACACACCTTCCCAAACTGCCTGTGAGAACATTTGGCTTGCATTCCATCGTGAGTCTTACATTCGATGCCTGATTTCTTGCATGTGGAGCAGGAGAGGTGGAGATCAGTTTTTCAGGGGGCCAAAACTTCTGTAAAAACATTTTGAATTTCTTCCCCATGACTAAAGTTGTAGGTCTTAATGCCTTTGATCTTGACAGCTTTTCTACAGCCAACTGGGTTTAATTCTAAAATAGGACTTCCATTTTGATGAACAGAACTGTTTGTTCGGGGGCATTTAATTTACGAGAAATACAAAAGATTCTGGAGTGCTCAAACTTTAGCAGATTTCAGCTATCTGAAGTTAAAACTTTGCTTTCTTTGCAAGCTTTTGCCGTCTTCTGTTAATGACTTTTTCCTCATTCTGGATGTTCATGTAGACCAAAATTATTAAAGATTTTGTTTCTACTTGCAGTCTAGTTTTAGCAGTTGGAGGAAAACCTACTTAGCCACTTAAGAGATTAAGAATTATTAAAAATTACGTGTATTTTTATCTTTGTGTTGCATCAAAATAACCAGTATCTAAATGCAATGTCTAAATTAAGTTTGCTGATGATTAAGAACATGTTGAATACTTATCTGCTCTAGCCTTTAGCAGAAGCCTGCAGACCTGCTTACACAAGAAAATATAGAGAGATTCTGCTATAAAACCAATACAAGTACTCTGCAAGTAATGACAGCTGTAAACAATGCTTTTGGTAAATACTGTTGGCTAAAGAGCTCCTATGAAGCTCAAGTCTTGTGGTCATCAGGGTGAGAGGCAAAATAGACATTGGTTGGGTCCACTGTCATGAGAGAAAAGTTTTCACTAAAACACTGCAAAATTTTGACCTACTCTCTTATTTAGTCCCTAAACAAAGGTTTGGTAGATAATTGTGCTTAGTGTGCGAAGGGGGCTGCATTGCTTGGAATCTTAAAGGCTTTTCAGCATTATTGTGCTGCATTTTGCGTTCATATACACACTTTAAAATTGTTTATGACATGAACCCCGCAGAACACTTGCTTTCTAAATGTGTAAGAGTCCTGAGTTCTGGCATTCTGAGCAGCAATATCTTGCCATGAGGTAGCAGCCCAAATAGGTTTACCTCTGGGCTGCCTGTTAGTCCACTTCCACTGTTTTAATCAACCCAGCAAAGCGTTTGCTGCCATCCATGAGTCAATTCTAAGGAAGCTCCACTGGCCACAGCCCTTGGTGATGAGATAATTCTGCAGAAAGAAGATGATTCAAGCTGCACAATCTGAGCTTTTAAAAGTTCTGTAGCTTGGTCGAGGAATGGGAAAACTACTGCTGAGCAGGCAGGCAGACCAGGAACCAGATACAGGAGATGGACCTAGGAGCTGGATTCAGGAACTTGGGATCGAGAACAGCAGAATGGACAGAGCCCTTCTCAGACACCATTTGTCAAAGAAAAGGGCTTAACTCCCATGATCCCTCAGATTTATGCCGAGTATATAGTGTATGGAATACTTCTCTTGGTCAGGTTTGTGTGACCTGTCCTGTCTGTTCCTCCCTGCATGTGTGATCGTTTTACTTCTTTTCAATCCTTTCACTTCCCAGCACCCCCAGTGGGACACACCAGATTTAGCAGTGACCTTGGTTTCTATAGGAGCAAATATAAGCAAGAGCGTTTCTACATACCTGTCCTTGGTAGTAACTATAAATGTCAAGTATTATCACTTCTAGTAGTGGATTCTGTCTGCAAAAACATGCTGTTAACTTCAGAATGTGTGGTGTCCTAGAAGAGATTGAGCGAAAAGTAAAATCGCTGAACAAAATTGCTTCTCTTTTAGCTCCAGCCAGGACACCTGAAAAATACAGTTTCTGTGCTTCTTTGTGATTTCTTTTTAAAGCTGAAAGTAAACACAACTTATATAATGAACGTCAAATGCAATAGCTAGGAACCACTATTTTCAAAATTTAACTTTCACTTGAGCGTCTAACATGGTTACAGAAGTGTAAGCAAGCTGCATTGGGAGGAGTAGAGTGGGGGTTTTAGGGAACTAAATGACCTTTCAGAAAGTGCAGAAACATACATATCAGGGAAGCCGTCATTACCAACAAGTGATTAAGTACTGCTGGAAACAAATTTAACTCTGGACGTCAAGAACTTGAATGGCTGATGTCTTTCATTGCAGTGTAAATTTATCCTTGTGATGCATGCATAATGCAATCTTATATCTGGAAACTAAAAATAGCTTAATGCAAACAAGGTGTTTCTTTCTTGAGAATTGCCAGTGATGGTTATAGAAGTAGAGTTCAGTGCAAACTGGCAAAACTGACCAAGAACTGGAGCTGGTTTGGAGACATATATATTGTAATTACTGTGCTAGTAGTGTCCACATTGGTTTAAGGCTTCCTCAGGCATATCTGAACATGCTGCTGTCATTACAGTGACGGCTTTCATTAATTATATACATTTGTAATGTTTTAGTAGACACCAGTGTTTTTGGCAAATATTTTCCTTTATGCAACTTGAGGAGTCAGCATTTTAAGAAGATGGTTCCCATGTATCTTCAAATGAGATTTAACATCTATAACTTAAGATAACTTACTCTAAGGCTATGTTTCAGTCTAATGATGCTCTCTAGTAGATTTTCTAGTGATAGGATCTCAAACTGTTAAAAATCATTTGTTTCAAAGGTGTCCTTAATCTTTAGAGATGAGAATTTTGTCTGTTGGGCCATCCTTTGTCATTGAAGTCTATGGGCATTTTTAACTACATTCAGTAAAAAAGGAGCCTTCAACAGGAATGAAAGTAGTTACTTCTTAGTGTAAATTAATCCAGTTTTGATACGGTGGGTCTAAATGACAAGTTACTCATACAAACCTGGCAAAGATCTTGATCTCAGTGAGTAGTTTTTGGCCAAGTTCAGATTTGCACAACAGATGCTGATGGTCTTGGGATTGTGGCAACTATTTTTGTTTGGTCGAGGCCTCTCTTGCTTAAACCTCTAACTGCTGCAGGCCTAGGCTC